GAATGGACGGCAGCAGATTGTCAAACTAAATGAAAATGTGTATACGAATGCATAGCGAATGAAGTTCTATGCATTCCATGGCAACAGAACTATGTAGAAATAGTTTGTCTGCATTGTGTAGTGTGTGCTTGTGTATTTGTTTGTCAATTCGTTGATTTTTATGCCCCTTTCGATTTCAGCAAAATGTGAATCAAAGAGAATCTTTATTTTAAGCTCTGATTCAAAGTCGGATCGTCGTGCGATGCACAAGTAAATACCAAAGAGCAAAGCGATACAACGAGAATGAAAAGAATCGAACAACCGAACGAACATCGAGACGCCATTGTACAGCCGAAAATCATCAAAATCGAAATCGTCAAGCAGCTAAAAGCAAACAATTTGAGATTCAACATTGGATGAGAAAATCAAAAGGCACACAACCGGCAACAGCGGCCATCGAAAGAATCGAATTGATTTCATCACTTTTGCCCAAGCAAAAAGGTACCGACTGATATTCGATCGACCACAATGAATCACCGGTGAACTATTTATTTTTGCCACGAACATTCCGTAACGTAAAGATTGTATTAAATTGGTTAGGAGCTCGGCGCATAAAAAGAGAATAGGGACTCAGATTAGTTTAAGCATTTTGATTTCATTTCATTGAAATTTCTTGATTTGGGTGTGAGCTCGTAAGTATAACTAAATTTTGCTCGGCGGACCTAAAAGTCATATCACTGGCGACCAAGATAAAGAAATTAATTGTGTTTCATCGAACAAATAGAAACCGCTACGGAGTGCACGCTCCCAACATAAGAAATTGATTTTTTTCAATAAAATTGTGATATTGTTTTAAGTAAAACTTGATTAGAAACTGAGAGCCACACCAAAGCTAAAGTAAATTGTATTGGGTGTATAACTTTGCTTCCGCCGTTTTCCAACAGATGGCTCCAGCGGTAAGTCCGACATTTATTCCCGTGTTTCATTTCAATTACTTTTTTCGAATATTCAAAACTTTTTTTTGGTCAAACGAACAAACTTATCCAAAATCATCAAAAAATTTGCTTTCTTCTCAATTCATTATTATTATTATTCTGCACCATACAGCGTTTCTTCGCCAGAGGTGGTTTATTTAGTATAAATAAAAATATTCTGGTATATTTACATTATATACAATATTAAACATACATGCGCGAGGGGAGGGGGGAAATTTTTCCCCCGGGGAAAAATATAAACCCGATTTGCGGGCTTGGGGGTGGCTTTACCCCTCCAGACCAGTTTGTATCTCAATGTATTTTGACGAGATCTATCGATCGGAGCTTTTCCCGATGTCAACTGACCCATTTCCTGATCCCCCACAGGGTTATTATCGATGATGCTTCCCTTACATATACATTACTCCAAAAAATGGTCTGGGGAGGGTCGGAGGACTAAATGGGTGGGTCCAATCGATGGATCTCGTCAAAGTACTCTGACAATACCTCACCCATTTGGGGGATAAACCCACTCCCAAGCCCGAAAATCGCATTTTAAAATATACCGTGAATCTTTGAATCATTGAAACCCGTTTTTTGGCATTGGAGGTGGGTTTTACCCCCCCTAATGGGGGGTATTTGTTAGAAAACTTGGGGGAGATACATCGATTGGAGCTTCTCCCGATGCCTTCTGACCCTTCCTTGACTGATTTCCTGAAGGGGGGGGGGGGTGAATTTTTTGATTTGCAGGTCCTTAAAAAATGGTCTGGGGAGGGTCAGAGAGCAATATGGGTGGGTCCAATCGATAAATCTTGTCAAAGCACTCTGACAAAACCCCTCATTTGGGGGATTAAACCCACTCCCAGGCCCGAAAATCGGGTTTTTATAATATACCGTTTACCGTCGAATCATTGAAATCCATTTTTTGAGCTTGGGGATTGGTTTGACCCCACCCAAATGGATGGGTTTTGTCGGAGTATTTTGACAAGATCTATCGATTGGACCCACCCATATTGCCCTCTGACCCTCCCCAGACCATTTTTTAAGGACCAATCAAAAAATTTACCCCCCCCCCCCCCTAGGAAATCGGTCAAGGAAGGGTCAGAGGGCATCGGGAGTAGCTCCAATCGATGTATCTCCCCAAAATTTTCTAACAAATACCCCCCATTAGGGGGGGTAAAACCCACCTCCAAGGCCAAAAAACGGGTTTCAATGATTCAAAGATTCACGGTATATTTTAAAATGCGATTTTCGGGCTTGGGAGTGGGTTTACCCCCCAAATGAGGGGGTATTATCAGAGTACTTTGACGAGATCCATCGATTGGACCCAACCATTTTGCCCTCCGACCCCCCCCAGACCATTTTTTGGAGTAATGTATATGTAAGGGAAGCATCATCGATAATAACCCTGTGGGGGATCAGGAAATGGGTCAGTTGACATCGGGAAAAGCTCCAATCGATCGATCTCGTCAAAATACATTGAGATACAACTGGTCTGGAGGGGTAAAGCCACCCCCAAGCCCGCAAATCGGGTTTATATTTTTCCCCGGGGGAAAAATTTCGGCGGACGGACGGACAAGGGGTTTTGTCCGAACTTTTTGAAATTTCTCGGACGTCCGAATATTTTTTTAATTAAAAAAATCAAAAGAAAATTGAATAAGAATACGCAGCGTATTCTTCTTCAGCGACATTTTTGCATTTTTTGGTTGGAAAAGTCTCGGAAAAGCACTACTTTGGGAAATCGGGAAATCGGAGAAGGTTCAAACCAGAGAACTTTTTTCCGAGAGTTTTCCAACCAAAAGGTGCAAAAATGTCGCCAAAGAAGAATACGCTGCGTATTCTTATCCAATTTTCTTTCGATTTTTTTAATTAATTCAAAAAGTTCGGACAAAACCCCTTGTCCGACCGTCCGTCGGAAAAAAAAAATCGGACATTCGGACCGGACCGGACGTCCGAAAAAAATTTTTGGCTTCGTTTTCCAAAAATTTTTCGGACGGACGGACGGACAAAATTTTGTCCGTTGACACCTCTACTTAATAGGAACGAAGTATTTATAAAATTCGTTGTAAAGGGTGTTTCAATAAGAGTGTCCGAACTTTAGAATGAAATAAAACACAGAAAATATTCGAATGGATTTTGATTCAAAACTCTACTAAAATTAGAGATAGCAATTTAGTGTCTTTAGCGAAGTTGTAGTACTCAAGATTCACTAAATTTTTTATTTTTTATCAGTTACGCGGAATCCGCGAAAAACCGCGGAAAACGCGATTTTTTTCTTATCATTTTCCGTATAACTGATAAGAGATAACGAAATGATGTCTTCGGCAAAGTTGTAGAGCAGGTTGAGAACTACAATTTGTTTGAAGACATCATTTCGTTATCTCTTATCAGTATTTGGTATAAATGGTATATTTTAGAATGAAAGAATGATCAGAATGAGTGTATGAATAGTTTATGGAATGAGAGAGCAATGAGTTGACACGTCTAGCTATGTGTAGTGTATAGAATGAACTGTCTTTTTATTAACTCTTTCTTAAGTGCTAAACCTTGCGCTTGTGTGACGCAGCACACCAGCGCTACACCTCCTTTTCTAGAATGGATACAATGCTGATTTTTGTTTGTTGATTTGTGTATTTTTTTTTTACATTTTTTTTCTTTTTCAATTTTTTTTTGATTTTCTATTTTATTTTATTTTTACATCTAATTGACTTACAGACTAATAACTTCAATTTTATTTTCTTTACATTTGATTGAAACTTAATACTAGAATTTTATTTTGAAATTAATGAATGATCATTTTACCCCTTCTTTTAGACAAAAATTGGTATTGTAGGCCATTCAACTTTTGCTTCCGTTCATGAAATTCGTTCTTCTTTATTTTGTTTTTACTTTTGTTTATGATTTATTAATTTTTTTTTTCAATATTTGTGTATTTGATCTTTGTGTATTTTGTATGGTTTTCCATTTTCAAGCTTAATAATAACATTTGGGTGCTCTATGTCTATAATTTCGAACGGTCCCTCATAAATCTGTCTAAATTTATTGTATGGTTCTTTCTATATTTTTACCTGATCTCCTATTTTTACCTCAATCGGATTTGAATTCTTATCATAATATAATTTAGATATATTTTTTATTTTTTCTATTATTTTCTTTGCGTGTTCGTGTGCAATTTGTAACTTATATTTCGCCTCTGCCATGTAATTATCGATATTATAAATTGGATCGATTTTTCCATTTAATATCTCGTGTAACATATTCGGTTTTCGAGCGAAAATTAGTTCGGCTGTATTTTTCTCCATTACTCGAATGCTTTTGAATGTTGTAACAGAAAGTGAAAAAGTTCAAGTAAGAGTCCCAGCAATCCAAATTTCCATTCAAATAACTTCTTATATACTCGTTAAAAGTTCTATGATTCCTTTCGATAGTACCTAGCGATTGATGATGGTACGCAGTTGAAATTCTGTGTTCGATCTGAATTAAATCACATAATTCTTTAATGAGTTCATTTTTATATTCAGTTCCCATATCGGTTCGAATGGATTTCATCGGTCCATATATGAGAATGAAATGTTCAAAGATCGATTTAGCAATTTCTTTTGCTGTTTTATTTGGAATTGGAATTGTTACTAAGTATTTAGTTAAATCACAAATAATTGTGACGGCGTATTGATTACCAAAAAGTGACTTAGGTAGCGGTCCAATTGTATCAATTTCGACTATATCAAACGGTTTTGAAGGCGTTTCCGTGATCGTCATTTGCTCTTTAATAAATGCATTTGGCTTTGACAGTTTGCATGTTTTACAATTGCGAATAAATTTTGCAATATCTGACGTCATTCTTTTCCAGTAAAAAATATTTCTTATTTTGGCGTATAATTTTTTTTGGCCACAGTGACCACCAAATAATGGGTCTGTATGGTATTTCTGCAATAATGAAAAATGTAGAGTTGAGAAAGTAAGTAAAAAGCGTCTGATTTGTAAATTTTTGAACAACAACTGAAGTATTTTTTATTCAGAATACTAGATTGAATTTTACTGAGAACACTAGATTGAATTTGTTTCATATAAATCTAAGCATTCTCCCACCCAAGCATCAAACTCAGTAACTACTTCATTTTGTGTCAAATTGCCATTTAAAACAATAACTGGAGCAGGTAGCAGGTGTTGATTCGCAATCAAAAGTTGATCGTGTAGTTGATGCAATAACTCCAAATATTGCAATGAAATGTTGATTTCCTCATTACGGGCTCGGCTTTTGATTCGATTTATGATAATATCGGGTGTTGTTCGTAAGTAAACGATAGCATCGATTTTGTGGGTGAAGTTGCGATTTAGAAATTGATTCCACTCTCGTAAAATGTCAAACTCGATTGGATGAATTGTTTTTTCCTGTTTGCCAGCTTCAACAAAACAGTGATAAGCTGTTAAGACTGACCGTTCCATTATTTTTACTCTCGAATTTGAAATGGCAGAATGAATTTCCAACATCGTGAGTAGTGCATACATTTGGAAGTGAAAGTTCCATTGTTTTTTATCTGTGTACATCAATTCTAATAAATTGTGATTGTTGAAATTTTGCCACTTTTGAACAGGCTCGAAGAAGATTTCAAATTGTTTCCGATTTTGTAGATGTTGCAAAAGGCTGCTCTTTCCAGAACCAATGTTACCCTCTACGATGATGGTAATCGGATGAGAATCATTGGTTGATATGTGGCTGGATAAAACGATTGGATTTGCAGGAATGGTGTTAGTAGATGGGCCTGCATCACTTTCATCGATCATTTCGCCAAGATGAGTATTTTCGTTGATTGGAAGAGGTGATAATTTGAGAATCGGTCTTCTGTAAATGCCGTTTTTCGTTCTGACTGTGCATACTCTCACTAAACCGTCGGATCCAGGATGAGTTTCGACAATTCGACCCATTATCCATCTTGAAGGCGGTAGATTATCCTCTTTGATGAGAACGACATCACCAATTTTCAAATTTGGTTGCTCTTGTAACCATTTTGCACGTTGCTGTAGTGTGTTCAGGTAATCCTTGTGAAAGATGTCCCAAAACGATTGAGCTCTCTTCTGCATTGTGTTATAACGATCGAGTGGCAACACTTTTTTGTCCAAAAGGTTAGGTTCAGGTATTGCCAACAAGGAATCACCAATCAGGAAATGACCTGGTGTTAAGAAGGAGAAGTCATCAGGCTGGTTTGACATCGGAATCAATGGTCTCGAGTTTAGACAGCTTTCAATCCTAGCCAATAGTGTTGCCAATTCATCGTAAGTTGTTGATTGATCACCATTGACTATTCTGTAGAGATGTTGCTTGACTCTTCTGATGTTCGACTCCCAAATGCCGCCGAATGATGGTGCATAAGGTGGATTAAAGTGAAATGCAATGCCTTGGTTTGCAAGATCCTTGACGAGAGTATTATGCATGGATTTCAAATACTCAAAGTGGTCGGTTTGTAAACGGGTGCGTGTGCCAATTAAATTAGATCCATTATCACAATAGATATCTGAGCACATACCTCGTCTTGATACGAATCTTTGCAGTGCTATCATAAATGCTTCAGACGATTGGTCGATAACTGGTTCAAGATGGATCGCTTTGACGCACATACACACAAACAGGATGATGTAACCTTTGTAGATTTTGCTTCCACGAATTTTTGATGTGCGTAAATAGATGGGACCGCATAAATCGATACCAGTGTGCAAAAATGGCCTTGATTTTGTGACACGAACTGCTGGTAGGTCGGCCATTAGCTGAGTGGCTATTTTTCCCTTGTATCGATGACAAGTCACGCATTTGGAAATGACTTTTCGAATGGAATTTATTCCATCAGGAATCCAAAATTGTTTGCGGATATCAGCTAACAAAAGTTGAGCTTCAGCATGCAGGGCTCTCAAATGATAGTAGTTGATAACTAACGTCGTAAAATGATGATCCTTCGGAAGAATGTATGGATGCTTTTCATCATAACTTAGCTCACTTAGTTGCAAACGACCTCTTATTCGTAACAAGCCTTCGGAATCAACGAATGGCTTCAGTTTCCAAAGCTGACTTTTCATTTTCTCTTTGCCATTGGATTGGAGTATCCTTTTCTCCTTCTTGAAATGTTGTGACTGGACAAAGGAAATTATGCTTTTCTTTGCAGAATTCAGTTCATCAACTCTAAGATGATGTGTGCTGGTTCCATTTTTGTTTTTGATGAATGAAAAGAATCGTTTGAACCATGCAGTGTACCGTATAAGCTGGGTATAACTGGAACAGTAATTCAACAGTTTATCGGTTGGCGTTTCTTCTGGTGAGGTGGAAATCAGCGATACTGTTTTAAACTCAGCATCAATCAAATCGCACTCGGAGTTATCGATTGTGATTTCCGATGTTACAGGCCAATGTTCTTCAGGCAAGCTTAACCAAGATGGTCCGTTGAACCATAAGCTGTTGTCGTGCAGTTGTTCAGGAAAAAGTCCCCTTGACACATAATCTGCTGGATTTTGATGAGTGGGAACGTATTTCCATTGAGCGTAAGATGAAATTTTCAAAATTTCTGTTACACGATTTGCGACAAAAATTTTCCATCTATTTGGATCCCCATTTAACCAACTTAGAACTACTTTTGAATCACACCAAAGATGAATGTTCGATGCGTCGATGTGATGATGTCGAAGTGATTGTTTGACATACATCATCAATGATGCCAATATCAAAGCAGCACGAAGTTCTAAGCGAGGAATCGTCTGGAAAATTTTGGGAGCGACCTTGGATTTGGAGATGAGCAATGATGTGGTTATGGTTCCGTCTTCATTCAAGCAGCGTATGTAAATTCCGGCTCCATAAGCATCGACTGAAGCATCGGAAAAACCATGAAGTTGGATGCTTGCTTTCGGTGTTGTTTTGATCCAACGAGGAATTTTGAATGATGAGAAAACGGTAAATTGACTTACGAATGCTTTCCAATCTTTGGCGATTTCAGATGGAATAGGCTCATCCCAATCACATTTGCATTCCCAAATTCGCTTCATGAAAAGTTTGGCTTTGACGGTAATAGGTGCGAGTAATCCCATCGGATCAAACAGTCTGGCGATGTTAGACAGAACAAATCGTTTCGTTAACGATTCGTTGGCATCATATTTAAAATTGAAATTCAAAGTGTCTGATTTTGAGTTCCAGAAAATGCCTAATGTTTTGATTGTTTTGTCAGGATTCATTGACAGCGGTATGGATAGCTCTCGATCTTCAGCTGGAACAGCTTCTAGCAACTCGTTGGTATTACTAGCCCATTTTCCGGTGAAATTAACATTTGTTTTATCAATTCAAAGGCATTTTGACATTCGGTTGACCAAAAGAATTTAATTCTCTTTCGCGTCAATTGCGTAATGCATCTTGTTATGCCTGAAAAATTTCTAATAAAACGCCGATAATAATTGGCGAACGCTACAAATCTCTTTGCTTCATCTGCATTTTTTGGTACAGGGTATTTCTTCACAGCCATTATTTTCAATGGATCGGGAAGAATGCCTTCCGCTGTACACCTGTGACCTAGAAATGAGACTTCGCTTCGAAAAAATTCACATTTGTGTGGGTTTAATTTTAGTCTATATTTACGACAAGTTTCGAAAATGTTTCTTAAATTGAAAATATGATGATTTTCGCTCCGCCCTATCACGATAACATCATCCATATACAAAAAACATTTCTCTGGTGTGAGACCTGAAAATGCTAATGTCATCATGCGCATAAAAGACGCTGGAGAGATGTTTAGCCCAAAAGGTAACACTTTCCATTGGAAATGTCCTTGATCTGTGCTAAATGCAGTTAATTTTCGAGAATTTTCAGTGAAAGGTATTTGGTGATAGCCGCTGTATAAGTCAAGCACTGAGAAATATTTTGCATTACCAAGACCGTCTAATATTTCATCAATTCTCGGCAAAGGAAATTTATCTGGAATTAATTTTCTGTTCAATGCACGATAATCGACGCACATACGCCATTTGCGTTTTCCGTCGGTTGATTTTTTTGGTACAACTATCAAAGGACTGTTGTAGTTTGATGTGCTGATTTCAATTAAATCTTTTTTCAGTAAATTTTGAACTTGTTCGTTTATTTCAGCTTTTTGGCTTTGCGGCAAGCGATAATTTTTCGTATAAGTGGGCGATTTATCTTGAACGTGAAGTTCTTGTTCATAGAAATTATTAACCGTCGCCTTGTCAGTTTCCATTTGAAAAATATCCGAAAATTCTAAACAAAGTGGCATCAATTTAGCCTTTGCATGATTTGGCATTTTAGAATTTAGTAGCTGTCGTAAATGTGAAAGTCTATCTCCCGTCTCTTCAGTATTCTCTGTATTAATTTTCAATACATCATAATCATTCATTGGTTTTGTTTCGACTTTTTCTGTGTTAATCAACTTGTATTCGTCGTTTGTATTTAATACTCGAATCCAAGTAGTTTTCGAATTTGCAATTGTTGTCGGTATAAATACGTCTTTATCAATCATCTGTGATTCAATGATGCATGGGAATGTTTCTGATTTAATGTGAAAAATTTTGAACGACTCACTTCGTGGCGGTACTACTGATAAGCCGTTTAAAAGTTCAGACTGTATTGGTATTGTTTCTGTTTTGTTTCCATTTTGTATGCTCAATGTCATTGAACCGTAGTTTATAATGCATTTATTTTTCTTAATGAAATCTTTTCCGATGATTCCATGAGCAGGAATTGGGAATTTATCACTGACGATATGAAATTTATGCTGAATAATACTATTTCCGAAATTCACTAGAATTTCACGAGTTCCCAACGTCAAAATTGGTTCCTCTGTAATGCCCTTGAGCGAAATAATTTCTCTACTATTATACTCGATCGGTTTCTCAACAGAATTAACTCTCAGTAACGATATAGATGCTTCAGTGTCAACTAGAAAAATTAAATTTCTGTTCGATAAATTATTACCAAGCGTTACGAAATCCGATAGTGTACTTTTTATTGAAAAAATATTGTGTGAAATCAAATTAGTATTTTCATCATAGTCAGCGATTTCATTTGTGTTTACATTGGGATTTGTTCGTGTCGCTCTGCCTGCGACGCGTCCTCGTTTCCCGAAACAAATCTGATAGTGTGCACATTTGAATTATTTCGGTTGTTGTTGCGGTTGTCATTGTGATTTCGATTACCGCGATGATTATTGCTGTAACCGTTGCCGAAATTATTTGAACGATTGTTATTATTTCCATTCGATTGACCGCTTCCGTTCGAATGATTGTTGCCAGAATTATTTCTAAACAACCGTTATTTGAACGACCACCTCTCTGAGAATTATTGTCATTTCGATGACCGTTGCCTCTACCAGAGTTATTATTTCTACCACCACGATTGTTTTGGAAATGTTTCTGAGACTGTGCCTCCAACCTTTCTTGTTTCGTATTGCTTATCTCCACAATCATTTTTGCAATAACTTCTTTCGGCTCATCAAACTTAGACGCAGATAAAATTGCTTTAATCGTATCACTTCTCGCTGATTTTCGACACATTTCAATTGTCTTTTCGATCGCAAATTCTTTGGCTTTTTCTTTCGTAAACCCTTCAGAAATGAGACTTCTTCTGAACTGCTCAGCCAGTTCTTCGGCTTTCTCAGTAAATTTCGACAAATTATTTTTCTCTGCACGAAGCGCCAAAATTCTACCTTCTATTACCTTTGAAGGTTCATTTTTTATATTTTCTTTGAGAGCATTCGTGATTACAGCAACATTTGCTGGATTTTCTGGGATAATTTCTCGCGCTTTGCCTTCTAAACGTGTGAGTATGAATTTCAACAAAATCGGTTTGTTACCATCCTCACATAATTCATCAATCAAAGCAATTGAATCTAGAAAACTTTCTAGTTTTAATGGATCACCGTCGAACTTTGCTCCAACCATGTGGTTAGCCATGCTTATGAAATCTTTCGCCGTTTGTACCATGTTTGAGCCGGTATTTAATTCGACAGAATGTGAATCAAGACTGTTACTTGAATTACGAATAGAATTTGTCTGGCTTAGGACTTCCTCGCCTTCTTCACTTTCAAATTCAACAAATTCTTCTTCTTCTCCACTTTCTTCTTCTTCTTCTCCACTTTCTTCTTCTTCTTCTTCTGTTCCTTCCGTTTCACTCTCTTCTACATAAAGTGTCTCTTCTACAACACTCTCATCCAAACGATCTGTTCTAATTAATGGCAAAATTGTATTTTCAAAATCATATGATAAACCGAGAATATTAAGGCAAAATTTCAATTTATTAAAAAATGTATCGTGTTTTGTACGAATCGCGTCTCTTCCTTCTAACTCTGTTTCTTTATCATGGCATTCAGCTAAATATGTAGTTAACCGATTGTACGTTTTGATTAGACATTTCTTATAGTCGGCCAATAATTCGTTATCAGTTGTTAATTTTCTCCTATTAATTCGACCGTATTCACTCATAAATTTTTTCTTTCTTATTTTGTATTCCTGTCTTGCGAACACATTCATTTAAATGTAATAATGGGGGTTGATCAACGAAACTTATATCTAAAAAAAAAATCCTACAACTAAAATCTTAAACTAACATTTCTGTCCTTTTCTCCTTTTATCTAAATTAATTTAGTGTGTTGTTTCATTTCATATCTTTATTCTGATTTAAATTTATCTTTTGAACGAAGGAGAAAAGAAAAGAAAGCAAATTCAAATCAATTCGACTGACCGTTCAGCCCCTTGGCCGTTGCTTGTGATTTTTTCGTTTGGTTGCTACTCATCTGTTCAATACATTGATGTTGTTGTTGTTGTTGTGTCGGCGCCTGTGTGTCGGTCCCGCTGTTGTCGCTCTGTTGCTTCGTCTCCCACTTTGTTGGGCTCCACTCAACGCTTCCAAAACGCTTTATCCACGCAAGTCTAGCTTTGGCTTTAGCAGTTATATACTCGATATGTGCGCTAAAGTTCATTTTTTCATCCAAAATTACTCCAAGGTCCTTTATTATTTTGACTCTGTCAATCAACTTCCCTTCGATACTGTACTTGAAGTCAAATTTCAGCTCGCCACGGTGATATGATACGTAATTCGTTTTTTTAACGTTCAAGTTCATGCGGTTACGTTTGAAATAATCAACAACTCTATTTAAGTCATCCTGAAGTGCCAAGCAGTCATCATGTCGCTTTATTTGTATTGAAAAACGAGTGTCATCGGCAAACGATTGTAATTTGGAGTTCATTAGACAATGTGGCAAATCAATGATAAACAGGACAAACAGTGTCGCTCCAATCGGGTATCCCTGACCTGTTCCCGATGTTACTTCGATGGGATTAGACATGGCTCCATTCAATCTTACAATTTGTTGACGTTCACTTAGATATGATTTTATCCATTTTAGTATTTGCTCATTCAATCCCATAATTTTCAGCTTGTGTGTGAGCAGTTTCACGTCAACCGAGTCAAACGTTTTAGCAAGGTCGAGATATATTGCATCAGTTTGAGTTCCATGTTGCATGTTGACTAATGTTTGTGAAGTAAATTCAGCCAGATTCGTTATTGTTGACTTTCTTTTGACAAAACTATTGACTGGTACAGCCAACATCGAATGTGTATGTGTGAAAATTCAAACAGCGAACAACTCCAATGTGTTCATTTACAACGCATACATTCCACCACGCTCGGATGAAAATGTTTACATCGCTCACTTTCGCGCAATACGCGCTCTGTACGACATGTCAAACCAAAAGGACACAATTATACTGACTGGCGATTTCAACATTCCAAATTCAAATTGGGTTCCGGATGAAACCGAGACGAATGTACTTCTACCAGCATTTATTGCACCAAAATTCGCAGCTGATTTCATCGACGATGTTCTAAATCTCGGGTTGCAGCAAGTCAACTATATTCGGAATCCAGGAAATAACCTGCTTGATTTGGTATTCACCAACGATTCAACCAGTCTTGAGATCTCAAATCCTTCACCGCTGATCAACATTGACAATTATCATTTGCCCATTTCAATATCATTCGAATGGCATCTGCCCAGCACGTCAACGACTCCGAACTCTACGTTCAATTT